CATCACTCACTCTTCCCGTCCCTCCATATCTCACCTTGTCTCCGGTGTCTTTCCATGTGTCCCTGTCTCCCCGTGCCTCCCCGCCTCATCTCGTGTCCCTGTGTCTGCCCGCGTGTCCCAGGTCACAGATGGGGACAACGAGGAGGCGGATCTGCAGATCTTCTGCGTGTCGTGTGGCCACCCCATCAACCCCCAAGACGGCGCTGAAACATATGGAGCGCTGCTACGCCAAGGTGCGCCGAAGACACGCGCGACGGCGATACTACTGTTAACTACTTTTTTTCACCTAATTTTATTTTACCAGGTATGGCTCACTGAGTTATGTAGCTCTTTTTCAGAAGCCACCTGGCCACAAATGATAGCCCAACGAAGCAGCTTCTCACGTGGAAATATATTGCAGCCAAAGACGGCGGGGAGATGAAGAGAGTGAGCGGAGGGATATGGAGAGAGAGGAGAGGAATGCTTGTAAAAGAGTAAGACAAACATAGAGAAGGAGAGAGAGTAAAGGATGGAGAGACAGAGAGAGAGACGGAGGAGAGAGTGCGAATAGGAAGGATTATAACTGTGGAGGGAAAACCAGAATCGAACCCACGACCTCCTGAATACCAGGGAGGTAGTAACATCGTGGCGCCCCACTGCGGTGATTGTGACCGGCACGTGATGGCGTAACGCATGCTGACGTAACGCGTGATGACATAACGCGTGATGACATAACGCGTGATGACATAACGCGTGATGACATAACGCGTGGTGACATAACGCGTGATGACATAACGCGTGGTGACGTAACGCGTGATGACATAACGCGTGATGACATAACGCGTGATGGAGTAACACGTGATGACATAACGCATGATGACGTAACGCGTGATGGAGTAACGCGTGATGACGTAACGCGTGATGGAGTAACGCCGAGTCGATCTCGATGGCCACCGTCACTACGCGGCAGTGAGCAGGGGACGAGTGGCGAGGCGTGGAGACGCTCGCGGGAGCAGCCGGAGCGCGCGTCCTGACGCGCGTATTTCTGTGCTCGTTTCTAACCCTTGCTCCCGACCGCCTTTGTCTTCCCCGCAGTACGAGAGCCAGACGTCGTTTGGATCCATGTACCCAACCAAGATCGAGGGGTGAGGATGAGCACGCGAAGCCGCCCTGAGCCGCGAGACCACCACCCCCCCCCACCCCAAAATAACTAAGCAGACAATAATTCACTTCCTTCCCATATCCACCTCTCCATATACAAAAAAAAGTTTTTTTTTTACATCCCATCAGCCTTCTGGAGAGCATAATCTTAGCAGCATTGGTCCAAAACGGGTAAAACTCAGGACCGCTTTGACATTAAGTATCTAAACAGCGGAGTCGGGCTTGCTTGAACCAACGCTGGTGAGATGCCAGATATTTATTGGCAAGGACCCTTGTTTGTGTGTGGAACACACGACACAAATATAAGTAACAAAATAAATAAGAAGACATTTCGCCAATGAATACGAACGTAGGGAGTTCGTACGCCATTTTATGAGTCCAGACCCTTACGTGTAGGCGCACACACGCGCACGCATGTGTGTGCGCATGTGCACGATTGCGCTCTTTGTGTGTGTGTGCGCTGGCCACCCATCGCCTCTCGTGTGCCGTGACCGGCCTTAAGAGGCGCTTGCTATCAGCGCTTGCCCCAACATCCTGCTAAAGGCTATATTGTGGGGGGTGGGAATCTGTGTGTGTGTGTATGCAGGGCGACGCGCTTGTTCTGCGATGTCTACAACACGCAGAGCAAGACCTACTGCAAGCGGCTCCAGGTGCTGTGCCCAGAGCACTCCCGGGACCCAAAGGTTGGTGGTACCCCCTTACACCCCCTCCGACCCTCCCTCCCCACACCCAGAAACCCCAAAAGGGGGTTGGTCCTTCGTGGGGTCCCCTCCTCCCTTACGCTCAGGGGCCGGTCTATAAAGATGCGTGTGTGGGGGGGCGGTGGGGCGAGGAGTAACACTCAATCTCTGGTGGGGGTGGGGGGGGCGGTTGGGCGGTCCTGACATGTCGGCCTTTTCAAACATGGCCCCCCCCTACATGAATGGACACGCACGCAATGCGTTCTGTCTCTAGTAACTAAGAATAAATACCAATTATCAGGAGCTCAAGGTGGACAATTGTGCCCATAGCCCCTCGGCCCCCGGGTTAGCCGGCATTGGTCTGAGCGACCCATTTTTTTTTTATCATGGTTTCTGCGCACAGGCCCAAAGTTCCAGAAGGTCAAGCTGCCAGCAAGAGACGGCACTCTCAAATTTGCGAAATAGCCCCAAGGGTTAACACGTATCTTGCCTTGAGCCAGGTTGTTGTAATAACCTGGTGGGAAAAGAAACGGTGGTGATTCTGGGCGGAGGGAATTCCACATTGGAGCAGTGCGAGGGAAGAATCAGAAAGATAATTATTGTGGTGAGAGCGAGTGAGTGGCACAGGCGCCTTGGTGACGTCACCGCCACTTAGTGGCAAATGCCAGTTGTTGTATGCTGTGTGTGGGGAGCGGTAGTGCAACGGTGAGTGCGTTGTGCTACGAACTCAGCGACCCGAGTTCGATTCCCGCTCACGGTCAACACCAGTGACGATGATCTGAATCAGTCCTGGGCCTCCCCTAAGTTGACTCAGCCTCAAATGAGTACCTGGTGCGGTGTGTAAACATCGCCACTGGGGAAACAAAGGTGGCCGGGCGTGGTGCTGGTCACCCACCCCCTTGTGTGCCATTCCGGCCTTCATAGGTGCTACTCGCTAACAGCAATTGCCCAAACAGTCTATTAAATAGACTATAAGGGGGATTTTTGTATACTGTGTACAGGTGTGCGCGTGTAAGTATAATCAGGTATATAAATGGGCGTGTGCTTGTGTGTATGCATCAGTGCATGTGTACAGCATGTGCCTTTGTATGTGTGTGTAGGTGTGTGTGCGTGTTTTGTCATGTGTGAGTGTCGATTCGCTGTAACGGCGCCGGTCGTCTTATCGGCGCAGCTCAGATGCGCCGCTCGGCCGGCCTGGCGGAGGCTGCTGGGGTTGGTGCCATGTCCCTGCTGATTTATGGGCTTTGCCTCTGTGTGTCTGAGGCGTGCGGTAGAGGGGGGGGGGGGCACGCAAACCGCCGCAGTAACGAAACGCCCACATCCAGCAGCAGGTGCCACGGCCGGGCGGGATTGATGGGCGGCCGTGTTTCATGTCGTATTAAAGTGAGGGAGGAGACTGACGGTCTGGAGATATTCATGGGATCCTCACAGCGGGAGGTGGCCATTATGAAACGTTACAGCTTTGCTTTTTTGTAAGGAATGCTTCCACCATCATACCGCGCTGTTCTGCTGAAGATGAAGTCTCACTGCTGCTCGGTGTGTTGCCACACCCCCCGCCCCCCCCCCGCGTGTGTGTGCGTGAGTCGCCCTCCATGTGTGCGTCGCTTCCCCCCCCCCCCCCCGTGTGTGTGTGGTGTGCTCACGGACTGCAGGTCTCAGTGGACGAGGTGTGCGGCTGCCCGCTGGTGCGTGACGTGTTCTCGCCCACCGGCGACTTCTGCCGCCTGCCCAAGCGCCGCTGCAACAAACACTACTGCTGGGAGAAGCTGCGGCGCGCAGAGGTCGACCTGTGAGCGCGTGCGCGTGGTACCTTGCACACGCCGCCCCCCACGGGCCTCATCGCACAGCATCAACAACAACAGCCACCGTCCAATATTATTCATAATATAGGTTTTTTGGTCAGAAAATGTGTCGTAACCCTCCACCACCCGACACGGCCAACAGTAAAAAATGTGTCGCGTTTCAAAGGACAAAATTATTCACTTCTTTTTAGCCCACCGTGTGCTGAAGAGGATCAACAGCATTTTAAAATTTGAGTAGTACGACGTTTCGCTGATAATTACAATCAGCTTCATCGGGCAAGAATGGTGAAGCTCTCCTGTTGCTTCCGTTCTTAAATAGAACAGCCTCAGGGGTGACGTCATCATTTATGAGCCACCGTCCGCCACCAAGTGCCGTCGAAATCGCCGCGGCCTTCGTGCCACACTAGGTGAACTTTGAGGCTATTGTGGAAAGGGTGGAAGGCTTTTGCTGCTGGCAAGAGGTCACGAGACATACGCAGGTGCCGTGGGATGACTGAGATAACTGGCAGATGCATCACCTGTGCTCCCTACTGTGCAAATTTCCTGCATTTTAGCCACCCGACGCTCTGCTCGTTATGGTAAGCGTCGCTCCTCTGCCCTCCGCTATTGTTGGAGGGCGACTACCTCCAACTGCCCAGTAGCCTCACAGTGCACCTAGCCTGGCACTACCCAGTAGAATACTTCACGAGCCTCCAGAGGCCAATTTTAACATTGGTACCAGTTATCGGCAAGAGCCATTAAGCTCCACAGCCTTCTGTACCACATCAGCTCCATGTCTTCTCTGGCCCGTGCCGTCCCTATTTAGCCCCCTCTATCTGCTTCGGTATGTGGTGGCTGGGCATGCGGGCTACGTGACCCAGCCAACGCAGCCT